CTCTGGAAGGCTGAGGTGGGTGGATTGCCTGAGCTCACAAGTTCAAGACCAGCCTGAGTAAGAGCGAGATACCATCTCTAAAAATAGCTGACCATTGTGGCAGCCGTCTATAGTCCCAGCTACTTGGGAGGCTGAGACAAGAGAATGGCTTGGTCTGTAGTCCCAGCTACTAGGGAGGCTGAGACAAGAGAATCACTTGAGTCCAAGAGAGGTATGACGCCATGGCACTCTACCAAGGGCAACAAAGTGAGACTCTCAGAAAAAAAAAAGAATCGCTTGAACCCCAAGAGTTTAAAGTTGCTGTGAGCTGTGTTCCCACAGCACCGTACAAGGGGCAACAAAGTAAGACTGCCTCAAAAAAAGATAAAAAGAAATGCCACAGACCTTTTGAGTGTTGCTTTTGCTTAGATAATTTTAAAGTTGAAAAGTGGACTTGTCAGCCATCCTATCTTTGCAGGCACTTGAAGGAACCTAATTTACCTCAGATCAAAGGAAATTGTTCATCCTGAATTCAACTTAGTATCCATCAATTTTGGTTGCCATAACACCCCTGTCTGAAAAAATAAGTGGAAGAACTTCTTATTTCTCTTACTATTACATGCTAGTGTCAATGGAAAAGCATCTAAACTCTATAAAATAAAGGGTTTTACTCTGCACCAAATATGTCTGACCATGGCCAGATTCATACCCAAGAAGCCTTGGGCAAGTGGTCTCACTCTTACGGGTTACAGTTTGGCTTTATACATTTTAGGGAGATAGGAATTTTGTGTAAAGTCATCTATTAATACATAGAAGGCAGACGTTGATTTGGCCTGAAAAGGCAGGACAAAGTGGAAAATTACAGTTATAGGTGGGTTGAAAGTTTCTTTGATTTGTTATTAAAGAAATGAAGCCTTGTGTAAAGGCTTGGAATGTTTTAAGTTAAAATGAGAAAATCGGTTCATCAGAGACAAGCCACTGGACTCAGACTCATGATCTGTTAAGTAAATTGAGGGCCTGCAGTTGTGGTTTAAGCTTTGTCTTGTGTAGCCTTAGGCCTGTTGATGAGTTCCACAGGATATTTCCAAGAAGGGAGTGAGGCATGACAAGGCATGTCTGACCTCTCTTCACATGGCCTGCAACTCACCTTTTGGGTATATCTGGGGTCCCATTGTAACAGAGGCAAAGGCCTGAACAAGAGCAATAATGTATTCTGTCTCTTTATGACCACCTCACCCAGCTCATGCCTGTAATCTCAGCACTCTGAGAGGCTGAGGCGGGTGGATTGCCTGATCTCACAGGTTCCAGACCAGCCTGAGCAACAGCGAAACCCCCCACCTTCAGTCGCATACTGGGGCCAGCTGACGCAAGAGAATCACTTCAGCCCAAGAGCTTGAGGTGAGCTATGATGTCACAGCACTTTACTGAGGGTGACAATGTGAGACTCTGTCTCAAAAAAAAAAATATTTTTAAGTTGGGTAATAGATTTAAGAAGTGATCACTTTTTCTTTTATTTTTTTATTTTTCAGACAGAGTCTCACGTTGTCACCCTTGGTAGAATGCCGTGATGTCACAGCTCATAGCAACCTCTAACTCTTTTTTTTTTTTTTTTTTTGAGACAGAGCCTCAAGCTGTCCCCCTGGGTAGAGTGCTGTGGCATTACAGTTCACAGCAACCTCCAACTCCTGGGCTCAAGCGAGTCTCCTGCCTCAGCCTCCCAAGTAGCTGGGACCACAGGCACCCGCCACAACGTCCGGCTATTTTTTGGTTGCAGCCGTCATTGTTGTTTGGCGGGTCCGGGCTGGGGATTCGAACCCGCCACCTTAGGTGTACGTGGCTGGCGCCTTAGCCGGTTGAGCTATAGGCGCCGAGCCTCAACCTCTAACTCTTGGGCTCAAGAGATTCTCTTGCCTCAGCCTCCCAAGTAGCTGGGACTATAGGCGTCTGCTACAATGCCCAGCTGTTTTTTTTGTTACAGTGGTCATTGTTTAGCAGGCCCAGGCTGGGTTTGAACCCGCCTGCCTTGGTGTACGTGGCCGGCACCCTACTCTTTTATTTTTTGTAGATACTGTGTCTGTGTACAGTAGAACCTCTGTAAGCTGACCACTCAAGGGACAGTAACTAGTCAACATATGGAGGTGGTCAACATAAGGAAGTAGGCATACTGTACTGACAGGTACATGAGCTGCATGTTTGGTCTATGAAAATTAGGTCAACATGAGGTAGGCAGTGTAGGGAGGTGGTTAACTATGGAGGTTTTATTTATATAAAAATATACGTATTTTTTTTCAGGCTGCAGTGTAGTGGCTATTTACAGGTACAATAATTGTGCACTACAGCCTTGAACTCCTGGGCTTAAGTGATCTTCTTGTTTCAGCCTCCCGGTTATTTTCCTGCCTCTCGTGTAGCTGGGTGTGTGCCACTGTACCCAGCTTTGTTTCTGTATATTTTCTTTTCTTTTTTTTTTTGAGACAGAGTCTCAAGCTGCTGCCCTTGGTAGAGTGCTATGGCATCACCGCTCACAGCAACCTCCAACTCCTGGGCTGAAGCAATCCTCTTGCATTGGCTTCTGGAGTAGCTAGGACTACAATAGACATGTGCCACCACCTCCAGCTAGTTCTTTTATTTTTAGGAGAGACAGAGTCTCCTTTGTATTCAGTTTGGTCTTGAACCCGCGAGCTCAAGCAATACACCTGCGTTGGCCTCCCAGAGTGTTAGGATTACTGGCGTGAGCCGCCATTCCCAGCTAAAAAACATATTTAGAGATGAGGTGATGTTCCATTGCCTAGCCTGGAGTGCAGTGGTCCAATCATAGCTCACAGTAACCTCACATACTCCTGGGCTCATGCCATCCTCTTGCTACACAAGCACCACCACATCTGGCTAAGTTTTTTAAAAGAGACAGGGACTTACTATGTTGATCAGGATTGTTAGTCTTTTATCATGGCCTAAAGGAATCCTTCTGCCAGTATCTCAAATGTTGAGATTACGTGTATGAGCCACTATGCCCCTGGCTTGAGTTTTAATACAATAATAGTATAATTCAGAACAAGAGGAGAGTTGAATTTGGAGATAGCCTTGAAGAAAGCTTGCTCAGGATAGTAGCTAAGAGGGTTGTGGGTAAGTCTCATCAGGGTAACATCCTTTAAAGATGAGAGACACGGGTGTAACTGGTTCCCTGATGAAATTTCAGTGACCCTTGTTTTTTTTTTTTTTTTTTTTTTT